CCAGGGCTGGGGTCAGCGGGACTGACTTGCTCCGAGCCACCTTCCCCCTCTGCCACCAGCCCCGGGGGCTACAGCTCACCCATACCCCAGGAACCGCCCAACCAACTCGTTTGGCTCCCAAAAAGCCGGGCAGAGCAGCAGTTTGTTCCCAGCCCTTCCCTCCCACTTCCAGAAACCCTGGCGAGCGAGCGCGTGACTCGGTGGGAGGCGTCCTGGATGTGTTTTATTGAACGCTCGCGGATGGAAAACGCAATGTACACGAGCCAGGCAGCGCTCACTTCTTGGTCTCCTCCTCCTTGGAGAGGGTCTTGATGATCTCCTCCTTCTTGGCTTGCAGGCGTTCCTCCCGGCGCTTACGAGCCTCCTTGGTCTTGGACCTGCGAGCTTCGGCCTGGTCACTGCAGAAAATTAAGAGTTTGTGAATGCGCAGGAACAGCCTCAAACAGCCCCAAGAAAGCCCTTGCCACCAGCCCCCCCATCTCTGCTCGCTCCCCAGGATCCTGGTGCACCAAACCGGCCACCGAAGCGAGCGCAGCTGGGCGGGCTTTGCTCCAGCACTCGTGTGCCAACCGTAGCTGCCAGCGGTGCTAACCCGGTGCTGCTCAGCCCCGAGCGAGGCTGCCAGGCTCTGCCGCCCGCCCTGCCGGGAGGAGCCGTGATCCTGGTGCTGGGGACTGCCCCGCTGGGGCTGGCCGGGGTCACGCATCTTTACCAGTAGACCAAGGTTAAGATCCCGGCTTATTTTTTTACCAAACACACAGCAGGATTTTTGAAATCCATCGGCTCTTACACCCCCTTGTCAATCATTCACCGACCCAAGCGGCTGGATCGGCAATCCACCAGCTCCCAGCTGCACGAGCAGCCAACATCCACACCTGCAGCGGGGAAGAGCTCTGCCAGGGTGACGCATTTCTCTGCTTCAAGCCAGCCCTACCCAGTTTTGGTTTGATTCCTCACTGGGGCTCCAGACAGAGCCGCCAGCGACAGAAGCCACCTGGAATTACCTGCCTGCAGAGGTTTGTTTTGGTTTTTTTTTTTTTAAAACCCAAAGATTCCACAACTTGTAAGACTGAAAACAGTGAGGCAGCACTTACGCCAAGAGCTTCTTGCGAGCTTTATCTGCCTTGAGCTTGTGGATGTGCTCCATCAGGATCCGCTTGTTCTTGAACACGTTACCCTTGACCTTCAGGTACAGGCTGTGATACCTAACGGAGCGGAACAGAACGGACTGTGAAGGAGGCTGCCCCGGAGATCAAACCCCTGCACAGCTTCCAGCCATCCCGCACCCCTCCTGGCACAGCAGGGCAATGCACACGAGCATGCTGTGAGGAGCAGGGTCACTCTGAAGCTGCTGCACTGGCGCTTCCCCTGCTGCGAGCAGGCAGAGGGCTTGCCTGGAGAACTGCTGGGATTACTCCAGAGCAGCTCTCTGGTGCCACACTTCCCAGAGAGGATTTATTTTCAAGGAGCTGGCCACAGAAGCTGCGTACAGCAAGGAAGGGGTATCTGAATGTGCGGACACGCGACCCAAAGCTGGGCACGGCACGGCAGGCTTACATATGGCGGTCGATCTTCTTGGACTCCCTGTATCTGCGGAGCAGGCGCCTCAAAATTCGCATCCTCCTCATCCAGGTCACCTTCTCGGGCATACGAGCGTTGGCCGTACCCTTCCTCTTACCTGAAGAGGGAAAACAGGATGAGAATGGGGCCCAATTTCTGCAAGCTGAACAACACGCTTTTGCCAGAGTGTTTGATCTTGCTCTTTACTTCAAGAAGAAAACTGTTGCCATACAAACTGTGTATTTTTAGGCCCTGCCACAAGACTCCTGGAGGTCATTGCTCAACACGAGCTTGTAGATGGGCCACGTACCGTGGAAAACAGACATTTCTCCAGCTCTCAGAGAGGAGCCAGCACTTACCGATGCCCATGTGCCTGCCCTTCCGGCGGGCCAAGGTGTTCTTCCTGCATCGGGCACGAGAGTGAACGGTCACAGGTTTGCGGATGATCAGACCATCCTTAATCAATTTTCTGATCTGCTGACCTATGGAAAGAAACTCCCTGGTCAACATCTTATGCACAATGAGAGGACGTGTTAGGCAGGCACAGGCTCCCGTCCAGTTTGTACAAAAAGGATCCAAGGCAAAGGACAAGCCAGACCTTCCCCCAAAGCCCCTTCATGCTGCTGTAATTGCTCTTTTCCCCTCCTGTTTCTCCCTCACCGGTTATCTCAGGGGACACCACGTACTGAACCCACGACCAAGAGCTCACCAGGCACCACACCAGTGCATTGGGGAATATTGGAAATCCTGCCGACAGACTCTCTTCCCCTTTGAAGCACACGGCACTTGCTCAAGTGTCAGAATTTTACCTAAGCCAACCTCATTGCTACCGAGCTAGCCAAAAAGCCTCTTCCCCTATCCCTGACGCATCCCTTCTCCGGAGCGTGGCCCTGCCCGTGACAGATGATTACTTACGCGAGTTGGCGTTGGCGATCTCATTGGTTTCGTTGGGGTCCAGCCAGACCTTCTTTTTGCCGCAGCGCAGGACGCTGGAGGCCAGCCTCTTCTGGAGCCGGAGCATACTGCGGAGAACCACGCACACGGCTCAGCCCCCGCCGCCGGACGGTGCTTTCGCAGGGCCCGAAGGC